CATGATGCTGCCACCCCCATGCTTCACTGTAGGGATAGTGTTCTTTGGTACTCACCATTCTTCTTCCTCCAAACACGGTTGAATTAAGGAATTATTCCATTATGGTATTATGACCAAATAGTTATTTTTTGGTCTCATCTGAACACATGACTCTCTTGACTCGTCTGGATCATCCAAATGTTCACTGGCAAACTTTAGACGAGCCTTGACATGTGTTGGTTTAAGCAGGGGAACCCTCCTTGCCATGCATGATTTCTAACCATGACGTCTTAACAACAGTAACCTTGGAAGCGGTGGTCCCAGCTCTTTTCAGATCATTGTCCAGCTCCTCCCATGTAGTTCTGGGCTGATTTCTCATTTTTCCTAGGATCATTGAGACTCCGTTAGGTGAGACCTTGCATTTAGCCCCAGTCCGAGGCAGATTTACAGTCATGTTTAGCTTCTTCCATTTTCTAATGATTGCTCCTTTTTTCTCCAAGCTGCTTGGCAATTTCCCTATAGCTCTTTCCAGCCTTGTGGAGGTGTATAATTTTGTCTCTAGTGTTTTTTGGACAGCTTTGGTCTTAGCCATGTTAGTAGTTTGATTCTCACTGATTGTATGGGGTGACCGGGGGGCTTTATGCAGCTAACGACCTCAAACAGGTGCATCTAATTTAGGATAATAAATGGAGGGGAAGGTCGACAGTTTGAAGCCAGACTAACAGGTCTTTGAGGGTCAGAATTCTAGCTGATAGACAGTTCAAACATTTATTTGCAGCTGTATCATACGAATAAATTGTTAAAAAATCATATATAGTTATATATATTATATTATATTATATTATATGTTATATATATTAGTTCTTATGCTTCACTACATCTCAAACCAAGCCTCAGAGAACTGCCGAAAGGCTGAAACCTTGAATAAAAAAAAAAATTAAAGATAAATAAATATATAAATTGTTAAGTTTCACTTATTTATTTTATTCAAATAAAACACAATCTATTTAATTATTTTTGTTCATCCGTTTCTTCCGCACTTATATTTATTGTGCTACTTTTATTAAGCACTTTGGATTGTCTTCTTCCTGAAATAAAACGGCATTACCTGTATAAGATTTTAAGATAGTTATTTGAATTAAATTAAACTGGAGTATCAGAGTGAGAAAGCTTGAGGAAAATGTATCATCTTAGTTTTCCCATTTCTGTCAGTATATATGGTTGAAAACATTCAGAAGTTTATGGATCAAACATGAAAGAAAGGAAACCGGTGGGTCTAAATACTTTGGTAGGTTGCTATAGGCTATATAACTTTTCTCCAAATGAAAACCTGAAAAGGATCACCCTTGCTTCCTAATTCATTGGACAGAAAAACACTTTTGATGTTTTGAGATCATTACTTTCTGTATGTTTCAGGGCAAAGATAATCTTTGCACAACTTTAAGTTTAGATTAAATGAAAAAATGCTACTTCAAAGGAAATCATGATATTAAATCACTTTAAATATGTACTGAAAAACATTCACCATAAAAAATATCTAATTCAATTTACATTTCTGACTCTTAGAGCATGCAAACACATTATGTCGACTGGATGACTAATCACCCAGGATCAAATACTGGGTGATTAGTTTAGGAATATTCCATTCTTTATGTCTGTTAGTAAAATTAGATTCGATTATTAGTCTTTTCTCCAATTTTTGAATTGAAATAACATTTCAAAGCAATGCAAGATAGATATTTAACTGCTCACTCTTATGTAACATTATTATTTAAAATATTACAAATATCAAATTGCATATGTTTAATTACACCATTTTGGGCAAATTGCTATTGATCTATATTGGATCTCTGCTATAGGAGTAGAGAATAAGGCCCAGCAAACATAAGAGTGAGCACAGGTCAGCCTGAAACAACAGTGACTGTATCACCGGAGCACAGCTAAGGGAAAGCTTCAGAAATCAGAGGGAAACATCTCCAAACCCATGACAGGCATTCATGTTAATTTGATCAGATGCTCCAAGACCCTGATGCTGTTATGTGAAACTCATTACCGAGTTAATAGGTTGAATAATTAGAGTCACAACTCTGGTTAACTGGAACCAGCTGATGTTTTCTCCATTCAGAACAGTGGCCTAACTGCTGTGGCCTGACGAAACGCAATTCGATAAAAATAATAAAAAAAACACAGGGGGTCTGAGCAGAGCCGTTCTGCATGTGCATAAATGTGCTCCGTACCTGGTTATTCCAGCGTGAGATTACGATTCTGATCTAGGGGCTGATTCCCTTTAAGACATAAGGGTGACTCCATGAAATAACATTAAAAGATGTAAATGTCAGCAGAGTTTTGAAATGATCATGACTCTATTGTAAAGTCTGCAGGAAAAAACAGAAAATGACACTAAATATATTAATGGAGCAGTAGGTGTGTAGAAAAGGCAATCAGTCAAAACTAAGAACTTACACTTATCTTTAACACAGCAGTAGGTTCCTTGTCTGACATGTTTAAGATCTCTCAGATCAAGTAATCAACTCTTTTTTGAAAAAAGAAAGAAAGCTAAAACTTTGAAAAGGTCATTCTGGCTACATGTAATGGAAATCTCAGATTGGTAAATGGTCGACTCAGAGGAGAATTACATTTGGCATTGAATCCAGAAGATATCCATCATTTAGTTCAGGGTGTATTTTTGGTTTTGTTCTCAGAAAACTTCTACTCGGTATTCCATTGACTCTGATCGAAGTAAACACCTAACAAGCAGGAAGGAGGGCAGAGAGAGGTTGTTTGACTTTTTTTGGGGCTGTTCACATGTGAACATCATGACTGGTGATCAAAGAAGCCAAAAGAAGCCTGAAACTCAGTTTACTGATTTAGGAGAAATCAGAACCAGATGACTGAGCGGAGAAAACACAATTTAGACATTTCACTCGAATGTTTTGTCGGGCAGAGTTTGGACATGAAGGTAGAGAGTATCAGGATTAAACAAAAACAAGGAAGAAATCAAAGATCACTTGTTTGGTTGAACGTTAAAATATTTCATTTGATGTAGGTGTAATAGTTCTAATCTAATAGTAGAAATTGATTAATTATTTAAAGATTGCAACTCTTACATAACAGCTTCAAAAATAATAAAGCCCCTTTAATTTATAATGTAAATTGACAGAATTTTTACTGTACAGCTGTGTTTCTGGATGTAAATAAATGATTTTGTCGCCCTCTAGTGGTTGTAGCTGTTATTTCTTGTCCTGTTTTCACTACATTTGCTTTTTCTTGAATATTTTTCACTTTCATAACACTTTCTGAAGCTCTAATGTTGAAATGTGTTAAACTTATAGCACAAATCATGCTTGACATTAAATCAAGTCATAAATTGTCTTTCCATACCTTTTCTACTGTATCCTTAACAGAAAATCCAAAGCAAGCAATTGCTGCCAGACGCTAGAGTCCTTCTTTGTGTGATTTAATCTCAGTATAAAGGTTTCTTTTTTCTGCAAAAGTACAATGAAAAAATATTATCATGCAAAGCAAAAAAAAAGTGTGAAATTCAAAGCAGGGTTTGTTTATAAGCTATTTCCTTGCCTGTAAAAAAGCACAGAGATCAGTTGATTGATACTTGGTTGGTTTTCCCGTGGTTCCTCTGAAGGTTCTTCAGCAGCAGTTGTGTAGAAAGGTTCTGTGGACATATGAGAGCAAAATGTAGTGTTTTTGTCTATGTACAAAAAAACAAAACAAAGTGCAACGGTCTGGGCTCTGGGTGGTAATATCTTACTGTCTTAGAGCTTTTTTTCCATCTTCACAACATCATGTTACCACTAGAGGCAGCTCAGATAGGAGAGTCAGCTGACAGGCATGGACTCCTCAGATGTCTCTATTTTAACAGAGATGCAAGAAGTAAGAACCTGCAATCAACTGCAAATTTCTAAGAGGTTTTAAAGTTTTAAAACTGACAGATGCTTGGCATCCAATCTGACTGAAATATTTTATAAAGTAAAACAAAATCACAAGCAAACATTTAACACTGTAGAAATCTGATACTTGCTTCAAAAGAGCTGCAGCTATAAAGCTGTTCTATAAAATATTCAATCAGTTAGAATAGAGATAGAATAGAGATGCCCTTCCCTCCTATTTTATTTAATTTGTAAAAGAAAAACACTGAGAATCATTTCCTTTACGTTGCGTTGAGCCATCAAATGAAATACAAATGACACAAAGATATTCTTAAGGGGTGCCAATAGTTTTAAATACACTGTCTCTGGGGCAGGTAAGTGGAACAGTAGAGGAAACTAAATGATTAGCTGCTTTTGCTGTGGTTTGGAGGGGAATCCTCAACTAGCAGTGGTTTATATTCATGCTGTTCACCTCTTCACAGGAACCCGGAGGCAGGCAAGCAACAACACAGTGTCTACAGCACAAGCTGAGTGACTCTGCAGTAAAAATCCCCTCAGTGAGACAAGCGGGGTGTGACTCAGACTCATACGGGGCGGTGGAAATTGCTAATCATGCGGATCCAAAAGGCTTTGTTTGGAAATAACTATATCACACTGCCTCCTACACACCCTACAGAACCTTGTTCTGGTTTCCCCCGTTTGTTTCTATTTCCGCTTTTTTGTCTTCTTGGACAGATTCATAGTGAGCAATGGGAGAGCTAAAGTGCATTAGGGTTTAGTTTAGTCCATCCTCAAGGTTTGTGGGAGATAGAAACAAAACTTTATTACTTCTTATGTTTGAACATTTAAGTCACATCCTTTGAGGAGATAATACTTCCTGTTTTCTTTTCCTAAAATGCCTTTAGATCCAGATTCAAGCTCTGTTGAAACCTGCAAATAAAACAAAAACTGAATTGTACATCCTGGAAGAGTTCATGTACTGACAGCTAAAGAGAAGAATGTAGATTATCACGACGTCAATCATGTTTGTGATAAAATCCTAGAGAGGCTGGGCTTCATTTTACTGTCTCTACATGTGACACCTGAGGAATGCAGAAAGTTTTGTTTCTAAGGGCCATTCCTCTAAGACAGGTGTATCAGTGATGATGGTTAACATTTTACTGAAGTCATCGCGAGCTGCCAGAGCCATCGCAGCACTGGCTGGAACTAAATCCTATTTACACAATCGGGATCAATAAGGGAGCACAAGGAAACAACTGCAAGTTATCGACAGAAAACTTACATCGGTTCAAGTAAGGGATGAAATATTCTGTCATTATGGTTGCATCTGATTTCTTCTAATACAGCAATTAATTGAAGGCCCTAAACATGAGGACATTTATTTAACTCACTATTAATAAAACATCAGAAAAAAAGGAATATTTGCCAACATTACTTAGACTATTTACAGTTTATTTTCACTGTAAATAGTTTGGTTTAAAGTATGATGGTTTCCTTCAGATGTGATTACAAGCTGTGTTCCTATTGGTCTATCTTTTTTTTTTTTTTTTGCTGTGGAACTTGTCTGGTGAGTCTTGAGAAATGTCCTGCTGGATCAAGAACATCCATCTAAGATGGATTGATATAGCAGACGCAGAGGGTGTGGAATTTAAAAGCTGCCCACTGCTTACCTTTACCTGCTGTAGGTATGTGGGAATAAAATGCACTTTTTCTGATTGCCACTCTAAGCTTTGGTATTTTAGAGTACTTTGGGGGGTAGGTCAGTAATTTAACTGAGGAAGGGTTAAAATAAGGCTAGGTTGTGTAGAAGGTCTTCACTTTTCATGGTTTAAAAAAAAAAAAATCTGGCTTTCCCTTGAAAAACGGGAAAGAGAAGGAAATATTTATGGATCACAGATTAAACCAAGATGAACCTTTTTGGCTTACATGCACAACTGCTTGACAAAAGAAATAAAACTCTGCACATTACCTCCAGTATCCCCACAGTTAAACATGGTGGTGGCAGGGTCATGCCAAACCACCTTTTTCTTAGAAGTGACTCTAAAGCTGGGTTTCTGATTACAAATGCTTGCCAAACTTTTTTTTAGATTTTCCTTTGTAAGAAATCCTAAAAGTCATAAAAAATCTTTCGCTACAGAAAATTAAAATGAATTGCACCGTGCAAAAAGCCCCCCCCCCCCCCCCCCCCCCCCGATCAGGTAGTTAAAGCAACCAGATCAAGAAAATTACAAAGAAGTTCAAATAACTTCCTACAAGTGAACATTTTAGGTAAAATACACAGCGCTCATCTTTTTCTTCGTAAGTGAAAGGCACCACATCTATCCAACAAACTTTACTCCAATGCTGATTTTTTGCACCAAAATCTGCTTTTAATCCATGTATTAAAAAGCTAAAACACAGCAAGCATTTTCAAAGAAACACTGACTCAAATTCTAGTTGGGTGCCAAACAAAATGAGTCCCAAGGCAGCATCTTGGAGACCATAGATTTAGTCAGACAGATTAAATACATTGATGCATGTAATATTTAGATAAAATATCACTTGATTATATTTTCTGAAGCAAGTAAAAAAATAAAAAATACACAAAAACACACCTGGCCCTCTAGTTCTATTGACTTGACAGAAGTTATGACCCAAGGAACAGAAAGTTAATCTATCTAATAAAAAAATCCCCAAAAATGAATTAAAATGTTAAAACTGTGATTAAATGTGGAAAACTTCAAGGGATGTATATTTTCCAAAAAAACAAAACAAAACCTGCATCTCTTGAGATCAACAGTAGGAGGTGAATCAAGATAATCAGTAGTCGCTTTGCTAAAAATCTGTTCAGGCCACTTGGATTCTTTTACCTATTTTTCTTATTGCTGTTTAGATGAGGCCTCTGAAAAGAAATCTCAAATGTTGTGAATGTTTCTTATTCACTAAAATCCTGCTAATAAAAGGCAGGTAGTACTTTATTAACCTTTTTGTATTCCAGAAGGTACTGCAGATCTCTATTTAACGTCTAAAACAACACACCAGCCGACCTAGATAAGGACTAAGCTCACATACTGTATCGCTTGTTTAAAAAACTTCCTGTTTAGCATGAAATAAAACATATTTCAAAAGTTTCATTTTTCACAGCTGCTCTAACTCCCTGTGGAATAGTATGAAGTAAAGATCTGCAGCATGCAAATCCATTAGCTCAAACACACACAGCCCTCCTATCAGTCTTTAGCTGCGTCAAAAACAAAAAAAAATGTTTTTAGAGTCCACTTCCTGTTTAGTATCAGTTCTGACAGATACGGTGGAAGATTTAGCTGATAAAAGATGGTTTTATTTCTTCGTCAGCTATGAAAAAAATTGTCAGAAGTTAGATACCGTTCAAAACATCAGCTATAAATATCTTTCATACCCTCGACCATTTTGCGAGAATTTATGTAAGAAACATCATCTGACAGGTGTTTATTAACAAAGACTGCTAAAATCTAGCAGATTAAATTTATTTAAAGCATCTGAATAGAGAGGTGTGGTTGTATAGTATTAAACATGGATGAAAATCAATAAATCGAATAAAAGACTAACATGGGCTTGAGGTCTTCCGAGTGCAAATTAAAAGGTTAGTATCCTCAAAATCTTTCACAGCTCGGTATGCATATTGCAGCAGAACAATTTCCCCTTCCATATACTTGAGAATAAATGTTTTAACCATTTTTTTCAGGAAGTTTCATAAACAGATGTTAGTGCAACAGGTCTAAGGTCAAAATAGTAAAGTTTTTGTAAGTCTCTGTAGGAAGCAGAGCTGTGTTTATCATGTGGTTCCTCCCAGATAAACAGATCTAACCTTTCCTTTGTTTCTTTTAGCCATGAGAGACAGACTGGGACACCTGAATAAAGCCCAGACTGATTCTGAAGGCTTCAGCACTGTGGAGCTGACAGGCCTACCAGAACATGAAGCAGACTCGAACCCGGATCTAGATGGGATCCTGAAGGAGGCCCAGGGAATACGTCTGGAAATCGAGCAGATCCAGAATGACATCAATGAGCTGAAGGAGGTCAACTACCAGACATTAAACAAGACTTGTTATCCTGCTGCCAATAAGAGGAACTCCAATGCAATCGGAGCGGACATAAAGCGCAGAGGAGAAGCAGTACTGCAGCAGTTGCACATGATGAACGGTCTCCGAGGTGAGCTGGAGGCCCAGCGCGGCTCCTCTGACCCTACGGCTCGCATAGCTCGAACGCAGTACCACTATCTGAGCAATGCTCTGCGGGAGGTAATGTTCAGCTACAATGATGTGGAGATGAGCCACAGGGAGGCTTGTAAACGCCACATCCAGAGGCAAATGGACGTGGTGGGGAGGGAGGTCAGCGAGAAGGAGCTGGAGGAGATAATAGAAGGTGAGGAGGTGTGCGTCTTCAGCATCCATGAAAGGGGGAAAAGCACCAGCTCTGCCCTCATGAACATTGAGAACAGACACAGAGAGCTGCTGGAGCTGGAGAAGAGAATCGAGGGAATCCAAGAGCTCTTCTTGGACGTGGCTGTGCTTGTTGAGGAGCAGGGAGCAGGAGTGGAAAACATTGAGAAAAACGTCCAGAGCGTGGAGGTGACCGTTCAGGAGGGCACCTTCAAGCTGGAAAGAGCCCTGGCTTCAGATAAAAGCAATCCTTTCAAGAAGATGTTTTGTGGCTGTTTTCCATGTTACAACAAATAACATCAGTTAAGCTTTTTAATGTACAATTAAAGCTATATCTGCAGATACACACAGAAAAAATAAGCAGCCTACCCCCCAAAAAAACTGCTAATAGGAAATATAAAACCAAATATGGCTGCTTTCTCACACAAAAAGCAAATTTCACAGGAAAGGGCTTAAAACAGAACTTATCAAACTGGATCATCATTGATTAAAATGATGAATTGGAAGAAGTAATTTCTATTTTCTCATTGCAACAATTCTGTTTTTTTATTAATTTCTTTAAATTTAAAAGTGGCCAAGTCTTGCATATTTTTGGGGAGAAGCCTGAATGCTAGATAGACTGAAAACCTTTGGTAATTAAAGGGACACTATGCAACATTTTTCAGTTAATTAATGTGTTCCATAACGTTATGGATGATTAAATGAGTCATTTCAGGTTGAACAAAGGTATTCTCGGCCGCCCTGGTGGTCTGTGGGGGAAATACTGCACTTGCAACTGCAGGAGCACCGACCCGCACCCAAAGGCTCAGAAGTCTCGTGAGAGTCAGTCTTGCTTTACGGCGAGAACTGCTACACCCCCCAGTTAAAAGCATTCTCGTTGCTAGCACAGTGGCAATCTTTGTGCAGTTATGCTACGTTCACGCAGCAAAAGCAGCAAAATCGTGTCTGCTGCTTCATTTTTGCTGCTTGTACCAGTTAGTTCTGACGCGCGGCTGAAGCAGCTTTGCTGCTCTGGCTGCCCGGTGGAAAAGTGGCTCTGACGCGCGTTGGGCGGAGCTTCACTATCCTTTCTCTGCCTTGCAGCTATATTTGCTGTGATCAGTGGGAATAAAGTAGTTTTAATATGTGTTTAAGTGAGAAAATACACCTGAAAACGTAATCAGTGCAGTCAGTTCATTCAGATTATTATCCTGCCTTCAATATTTTTTTTCTGTCGGAGCCGCTCAGACCCCCACATACCAGCGGGGCGCCGACAGTATGGATCCCTTCATCAGCAGCGGTTCACCGTGGCAGCTGGTAGGTGTTTTTCATCTAAATAATCCAAACTGCATATTCTGCCGGCAGATTTCTGCATTTTAAGTTAATTTAGGCGTCAATAAACTGTTTAAGAGCAGTGATCATCAGCGCTGTGTCTCTCTCCCTGCGTTAAACGCGCCCGATGCGCTGCTTCAGCTGCTCAGACGCGCTGCGCCTGGTGCTCAAAACGCGCCGCGGGACCTTTTGTTGCGCCTTGACGCGCGTCAACCATTGACTTTGCATGTAAACTCGCTGCTTCTGTCGCGCCAGCTACGTCCAGTGTGAACGCAGCATTAGTCATTTGCTGCTAAGCTCAAAACAACCGCGCCTGGCTTGACGGAGAAACCAGGAGAACAGCTGAGCATATTTACGACAGTGCACTTTTACTTTCGCCCTCTGGAGGGAGCCTCACTGGAAAATCAACACCGGTTGCATAGTGTACCTTTAAGGGTTGTAATTTATACATTGTTACACTAAATTAAACTATAAGAACAGATATATACGACACGAGAATGCTTAACCATCACAGATGAACCAAACTGTCAAGTTGGGTGCAGGTTTGAAGAAGACCCAAATGCAGAGATGAAGGCTGGGGTGGTTTCTTGTTCTGGTGGCAATAGAAGCATAAATCCAGAATTAACTACCCAGGAAAACACAGTAACCAGAACAAAGGGGAATGCAGAGCTTCAGGAGGGAATGAAGAGAATCCAGAAAATAGTAACTGCAGAGGAGGAGAATATATGGCAGAGAGAGCAGTGAATGGAATGATCAAATGATTGGGAGCAGGTGTGGACAGCAGTAGCTAGAAGGGAGCTATGGGGCAAAGGAAAGAGGCACAAGGGGGCGATAAATAGTAACCAGGAAATACAACAGTGCTTAAATATAACTTAAAAGAACTTAGATGACACTAAATGGAAATGAAACTAGCGACTTAGAAAACACAGAATGACTTGAATCAAAGTTTAAATGAAAAGTAAACCAGTTTAAACTTGAACGGAACCAAAAATCCAGATCAATAGATCATGACACAAACGGGTTTAGTCCCATAGATGACTGCGTTTTTGTTTAAAATGTGCATCAATCCCATTTTTCTTCCATAAGACCTGTTGGAGATGCTAGTTGAAGCTCATCAAGAATACACATTAACGTATACATGTATTTAATCAAAGAATATTACACAACTCTTGTAATTTTTATTCATTATATTCCTCAGGTAACAAAGTTATGTGTGGAATAATTCTAATAATAAATTTTTTGTGTGCAGTGTAATCTCAGATCTTTGACATGATTTGCTATCAGCTCTATGTAAATGTGTGTAGTATAGTAGGTTAAAACTGTGACTAGCTAAATAAGTCAATAAAAAAATGGAAAAATTGCTTCTATTTCTGTGCATCATTTCTGTTCCTGAGAAGGTCCAGATCATGTTCAGCAGATGAGAGACAAGGTAGACTTTGGACAATTATTTCCAAACATAATGGACTGAATTCAAATTAATCCATACATACCACTAAGTTTGAACTCAAATACATATCTAATCTCATTATAGACCAAGATATAATTTATGCTTTCCAGATAACATGTTTAAATACATTTCCCATAACATGTTTTGTACTTACAGTAAGCATAAAAAATCAGTTTATTTGTGATGTTTGTTAATTATTTGGCTTAATTTGAGATAAATAATCATGAAATCATCATTTCCTTTGTGCCATATTTTTATTGACTTTGTCTCAGAATCCCATATAAGGGTGATTATTTCTAATGAAATATGGGAGTTCATGATTCATGCGAAAACCAAACAACTCTGAGCGTATTCCTGGGTATTGGTTTGAATCATGTAAACGCATCTCCTTTTAAGCAGCCAATAAGTAGATTAGAGAAAATGAGTTTCAGGAACTCCTTTTCACACACAACAGAGGCAAACAACCAAAACATTTGCAATGATAAAAGGGGTGAATTGACAGGTGTCTAGGGTCTTAGTTGCCCTTTGACCCTCCATACCGATGTTGGGACCCTGCAACCTGACCTTCCAATTCAAACTCACAAACCATTTGGTTTCCCCATCATAGTCTATCTATGTTCTTTGGAGTGAAGTTTTTCTAATACATTTTGAGACTATTAGCTTAAAAGTTAAAATTTTTCATATGATTTAATTAGTTTGAAACATACTTTAGTCAGATTTAACATAAACCCTATTTGCATTGATAGACAACAACGTTTTGCAGTTGTTACCAATGTAACCAGAAGAAGGATTCCACTTGTTTTTCTGCAGAATCTTTGCATATTCTCCTTGTGCATGGTTGGGTTTCTTCAAGGTATTCCAGCTTCCTAACACTATCCAAAACCTGCTTGGATGGCCTCTCTAAATCAGCCTGAATGGTTAGTTGTCCTGTGAGTCTCCAGAGTGGGAATGTGTCTCCCATTGCATGAAGATGCCTCCCATAAAAATGTAAAGCTAAATAAACATTTCTTTTTTTAAGTAAAAATATAGTAATGATAAATACAAGCACAAATTATAAGATCTACATAAATTAAAATTGTATTACTTAATTATTAAAATATCTTGACCCCACGTTCCAAAACATGGATTGATCTGCATGCTATGAAGGAACTGTACCAACAGCCAGGAAGTCATCTATCACACTTTAAAAGGCTAACATTTTCTACTAATTCACACATGCATTCTGAGCTACAGGTTAGAGTTTTGCATGTGTGAGATCATGGGGTTAAAACTATGACAATGCATATTTTTTGGCAGCCTTTAAGGTTGGGCAGCCAAAAAAAATAAATAAATAAATGCATGCCTTCGTAATTTTGAGGATATTAGGCTTGTAAATGATTTTCTACATTATCACTGATCTATTTCTGCTGCTGGTGTGAGTTCCTTAAACACAAAATAGTATTTGGGGTGAAAATAAATGGGATGCAGATCTCAGATGGCCAAAAAATGCATAAGCCCTTCAGCTTTGAGTATTCCGGTTTATGGATGATAAAAGATTGCTGCTCAGTGCAGCAGTGGGTAGCACTGCTGCCTTGTAGCAAGAAAGTCCTGGGTTCGATTCCCAACCCGTGAGGATAGTTTGCATGTTCTCTCTGAGCATGCGTGGGTTTACTCCGGCATCCTCTCCAAAAACATGGACCGTGTAAATATGTGTGCATGAATCGTTGTTTGTCCTGTTTGTCTTTGTGTCGTCCTGCGATGGACTGGAGACCTGTCCAGGATGGACCCCGCATCTCGCCCGTAGACAGCTGGAGATAGACACCCGCACCCCTCGTGACCCCAGCAGGGATAGGTGTGAAGGAAAAAGGATGGATAACATAAGATACACATTTTGATAGATGTGCATCTTATATTATCTCAGCCGGTTAATTTTTTTTATGCAAGTCAGTGATCCCAATTATATAAATTTAGAAGTTTACTATGTTATAGGTAGACTTCATATACACATACAAGTGCTTGGGGTGGAATTATAGGCTAATTTAAGTTGATTGCTAATTAATATACTGCATCAAGAGTTCATGGATCTTTCAAAATAAAAAAAATTAAAAAGCCTGAAATTCTCAGCATACTGTTAAAGATTAGGCTCTCTCTAAGTAATTGTTTATTTATTTTCTTAACAGGGAGATTAGGAGCGCTTAGGGCCCCAATACATCTTTATATAGTTCTTTTATTAATTATGATTTGTTGTTCCCCCTGTTATAATGTATAATGTCAATTTTTTGTTATTAGTAAGTCTCCTCACCACAGATTTCTTTATTTTAACCTTTTAGCTGCAATAGCCTTGTATCAAACCACAGGCTAATGGATTAAGTCCACTAATTTAATAATCTAAATTTCAGTGACACATTGTCTATGATAACACACTCACCGGCCACTTTATTAGGTACACCGGTCCAACTGCTCGTTAACACTTAATTTCTAAGCAGCCAATCACATGGCGGCAACTCAGTGCATTTAGGCATGTAGACATGGTCAAGACAATCTCCTGCAGTTCAAACCGAGCATCAGTATGGGGAAGAAAGGTGATCTGAGTGACTTTGAACGTGGCATGATTGTTGGTGCCAGAAGGGCTGGTCTGAGTATTTCAGAAACTGCTGATCTACTGGGATTTTCACGCACAACCATCTCTAGGGTTTACAGAGAATGGTCCGAAAAAGAAAAAACATCCAGTGAGCGGCAGTTCTGTGGGCGGAAATGCCTTGTTGATGCCAGAGGTCAGAGGAGAATGGCCAGACTGGTTCGAGCTGATAGAAGGGCAACAGTGACTCAAATAACCACCCGTTACAACCAAGGTGGGCAGAAGAGCATCTCTGAACGCACAGTACGTCGAACTTTGA